GTGTGTGTGTGTGTGTGTGTGTGTGTGTGTAGTAGTGTTTATTTGTGGTCTCTGATACAGAAGACATTACCATTGAAGCTTCATGCAATGAGTATCCTGTCTGACTGCGGCTCTGGTATCCTCCCTCAGAGCATGACTCAAAGGCTTTTTGTTTGCTTGCTTCCATTTTGCCCAAAATAACTTGATCTCAGCCCTATTTTCATTTCTCCTTCCGCCCACACACAGCATTAACCCAGCCTGCTTGGCACATATGGCTCTTTGAAGAATGCAGTAGGGGGGTGGTAGTTACAGACGGGCAGAGGTTGGGGGGGGGGGAGTTCAGTTATCAATCTTTATCTTTTGTTATCTCATGTAATGTTTAGGTTTTTGTCAACTCTTTTCTTGCCTAAATGTAAGGTAACTGTCATTAGGAGCTCGGATTCTGCTGTATTCATGAACGCTTGATGTCAAGAAAATCAACACATATATTCAGAAGGAAACAAAAACAAGAAAGAAACTTAAACATGAATAAATAAAATCTGAATAATAACTTCATTTTCAGACTAAAAGTGAGTCCTGTGGCCTTTTTTTTTTGTTCTCTTTTTTAAGGACTCACAGTTTGACTCCAGTTCTTCCATTGAAAAAGAACATGTAGTACAGAGCAGTCGTTCTGTTCTCCACTCTCATGCCTGTACTGACCCATGCCCCATATATCAGTCATTAAAGATGAAGTATTTTTATTTTTATTTCTATCTCAAACACAGGCTTAAACTTAGTGTATAAAGGTTCAGAAACATGATGGGTTTCCAGACGGTGAGCAGGAGGGAATGTCCAAAGACAAAAGAAGAGAGATCTTCTGCATTCACCTGCTTTAAAACTGTATTGTAAATACAACCTACTGAAACATAATAGACTTTTTATTGTGATAGAGAAATTGAAAGTTGTTTATACACTTAGGGAAGACTAATGGCTGAGTGCTTACAGCATCCATAGCCTCAGAGCGCTGTGCTCACCCTCCAGAGTTATCATCAGAATTAAATTGAGAGTTTGCACAACGGCGAGCAGAGCCTCACCAAGGGGGGGATCAAAGGGGGGGCCTCAGAGCGCTGTGCTCACCCTCCAGAGTTATCATCAGAATTAAATTGAGAGTTTGCACAACGGCGAGCAGAGCCTCACCAAGGGGGGGATCAAAGGGGGGGGGGTGGCCTTAATTAAATATAATCAACTACTGGCTTATTTATTTACCATGTCAAAAGCAGAACTTATATTAAAATCAACTTTTTTCTTTGTTACTGGCATTTCAATGCAGCACATTGAGTTTTTTATGACGTTAAATGTTGACACAAACCCTTTTTTGAGTCCTTAAAGGATCAAACTAATAAAATTTCAATTCGGCAATCAGTTGTGTTACTTTTTAAAGGGAAAAGGTAACTACAGTATATACAACATCTTTAAGACACTTTATTAGTTTACTCTGCACTCTAATGCTTTTGTCAGAGCTCACAGAGAAAACATCAGTTGTTGCACGATGCGATGCGATACACTTTTTGTCCCCTTGGAGAAATTTGTCTGTCAACATCATTTAGACAGAATGCCAAACTGGAAGAGACAGGATGTAAAAGGGGACTCATGGTTGGACACTCATATATGTTACCATGTTCTTTAGACATAACTATCTATATAAAGATCTTATTTGTATTAACATGCTGTGATTTTAAATCTAAATATAGAGCAATATGCAACTCTGACCCCTAGTGTTTATAAAGGGGACTGCGTTGCAAACTCAAAACCTTGGAGAGAGCTGTCTGCCCCGCCCCCTCCTCCCTGGAGTGAACATGCACGCAGGTTGCCATGTCTTGGACACTGAAGCTTCAGTGTTTAGCCAGCTCTGCATCAGTCTGGAAACTTGACTGTGTTCTAACCGCTCTCCAATTTAAAAAGCATCTCCAATATTGATCCTAGTTTGAGCACGTTTCTACTCGTGGAGCTTATAGAATCAGTTATATCCATCTAGTTAGCTTGCACTCTTCCATCGCTGCAACACCTGTTGGTTTGCCGCAATAGCTGGTCTCATATCTGTTCAAAGCAAATCCAGACCATTCAGGACCGGAATCTAAATTTAGAAGGAGGACATACTGACTGCTGAGTTGTTGTCAGAGAAGATAGCACAACATAACATGTTTCCTTAATGTCTGATGATATAACAAGGTAATTGTATAATTTAATTCAGTAAACATCTTACTGATTTGTCCTTTAACACATACAGTTTAAAAGTTACAAGTTCTGTACTCATGGACTCATCGCTGTCTCTGTGAAGTTACCTGACAAATGAAACGCAATAATTCACAAGGACACTTTTTCCCTGCCATGAAATACCTAATATGCAGTTTCCATGGCTAAAAAGCAAAGAACCTAAGTCAAAGATTACAAAGGTAAAACATGTATCATAACATTCACTGTAACGCAGTGAGAAAAGATCTCTCACAGGCCGCCAAAGCAGATCATTCATTCAGTTAGGGTTAGGGTTTCTTTCGTCATTGCATTGAGAGTTTGCTCAAGGAAAGTCCCAAGCAAGAAAGCAGAAGAAGTTGTTTGAATAATATCGTTTCAATACTGTAAATATAAGATCCAGCCAGAGCATCACTTCTTTAACCTTTTGGAAGAAGCTAAAATGCCAAACAGACTCTGTATGTCTGTAATGCTCAAAAAGTGTATACCTGTGATTAAAATCTCTTTTAAAAGTTTTAAGAGTTTAAATGACTAATGAAGTCTAAAATAATTGTTTATCACATTTACATATTCAGGCTTGTTTTGAAGCTTTACCTGTTTTTGTTTTTCTTTATTTAGCAAAACCAGAGGAAAAAAATAGCAGATTTAGCATTTTTTAAAAGGATGAAATACTTTGGATGAGGCACTTTCATCAATATTAGTCATTTTTTTGAATTGCATTACCTTTCAGCTCAAGTGATTAAGATTCCGGGGATATAAACTGTTTAAAAAAGAAATCATCAGGAATAAAGGAAGCAGTCAGTGATATCAGAAAGATTTATTCTAATGGACGGCCAAAGAAAGAGAGAGTGGGAGTGCTGACGCTCTGTGTGTGTGTGTGTGTGTGTGTGTGTGTGTGTGTGTGTGTGTGTGTGTGTGTGTGTGTGTGTGTGTGTGTGTGTGTGTGTGTGTGTGTTTGTGTGTGTGTGTGTGTGTGTGTGTGTTTGTGTGTGTGTGTGTGTGTGTGTGTGTTTGTGTGTGTGTGTGTGTGTGTGTGTGTGTGTGTGTGTGTGTGTTTTGGTTTGTCCCAGCTCACTGTGCATTACTGTAGCTTGTTAGCAGTCCTTCTACCAGTGGAGCTGTCAGGTTGTATTAAGCAGTTTTGTCATGGGCCAAGTAGGACGAAGAAACACACATGCATGCTCACATGCACACGCGCACACACACACACTCGCACACACACACACACACACACACACACACACACACGCACACACACACACACGCACACACACACACACGTATATTTCCACCACAAATGCAAGAGTTCATGTCCACACACACGCCTTGCATACAGCGCACACAAGCACACACACACACACACGCGCGCTGTGGCCCTTCGTGTCTGTTCATCTGTGGTGAAACTGCCTTGTGAGCAGTCTGATCCCTGGAGCCTTTTCCCCAGAGTCTCCTGGGATGTGAACTCACAGTTATGTAAGGTCGGGGAGAGGGGACTTCTTACAGTACTGTTACCTGCTCTGATGAGTGCCAGCTGAATGGACGTGTTTGTTCAGCACACTGAGTACCAATGAAAAAGACCGACCTCCAGATGAATAATACATCCTCTTTTTAAAAATCTTTTTCATCTTATGCTGCTTTTTTTTGCGTTTAAGTTAATCGGATTGATGTGTTTGTATTAAACAGCTTCAAGTGCACAGCTCTCGTCCTGAATCTACAACACAACTTTTTCTCTTTGATCAACTGATATGGATGTTTGTGTTGCCTCAAGCCTTGGCTTCTTCCTACACCTGTCTCCTTTTTTACACTAAGAGGCTATTTCCACACTCCTTTTGTTTTCTTTTTAAAACAGTGGAGAACACAATATTCTTACAAGCATTTCACTACCGTGTAAGAACTATGGTCCTATCAAACTAAAATGCCTGAAAACACACACCAAAGACCAGTCATTCATACTATTCATACATATTTCATACTTGTGAAATATGTTCTGTTATCAGTTTGTTTAGAAAACTAGACTTGATTGTTGGCTGAATACCGGTGACCCTCTGATACTGGTTCTATAAAGAAATTTAGAGATATACAGTGTTCCCCACAGAACAGGAGGGGAGTACAAAAGATGCCTCATCTCCTGTCTGCACGGCAGATTTACCGCACTAAAAAAAGATACCTTGAACATTAAACAGACCAAATATTTAGTCATAGTTGATAACTTAAATACATATAGGGTATTAAAAATGAAAAGTTTGTCAAGGATGATGGTTTATGACCTAGTTAACTTTTTTTGTTTCATCTCTTTGTCTCTAATCACTTGCAGAGCGTGTCAGGAGCTTCATTTTATCAGACACGCTGCAGAGAGGGATTGGATTTGGACTTGGTCCACTAGTTAATTGAGGGGGGGGAGCAGTGCTGTGTGTGCGTGCATGTCGGTGTGTATGTGGAGCTCCTGCTGTGCTGTGAGCTATTGTGCTTCCGTACAGCACAATGAATTCACGCACTGGGACACCAATATTACGCTGTTGTGTAATAAATTTGTCTTAATTGGTAATGTTAATCGTAATAAAAAAAGATATCACATTATGTATTATTTTTATTGAAGATGTATAGAGCCTCTACAGATACTGCACAAAATGAGTACAAATGCCACACGATGTGATCACTGAGTAACCATTTCTTTTGGAGATTGCTGTTGTTTTTTAATTGTAATATTTCATGTTTTTTCCGCTGTGTGACTTGTATTCTGTAAGACCAGTTGACCTTATTGACTCCTCTCTCTCTCTCTCTCTGTTTTCCAGAGTCTGCAGCTCTCCTCTCAGGGACAGTCCTCTGCAGCCCTTCTCTGGTCACAGGCCTGCCTGCCAACTATCATCCACATCTTTCTATCCACCCATCCTTCCCCCGTCATGAAAGGCCTGTCCAGTAGTCGGAGTCACCATCACGTGATCTCCTATGAGCCATCATATGATCCCCTTGGTCACCACGTTGACCGCAAGCCATATTTGATCAGTCAGAATGACATGCATGTGCCCATCCCCATGCCACATCCGGCTGAGCTGTCCTACTACAACGCTCAGCGAACCCCGTACCCCTCTGACAGCAACAGCATCGTCCCATACGGAACCTTCCCAAGGAGGTGCCACTCCACCTCCTCCTCTCACCATCCTGAGGTAAAGGATGAGTGTATGGCCATGGTACCATTTATAGGAGGAGGAGGTGGAGGAGGAGGAGGTGGAGGAGGCTATGGAGGTAAAACACCAACCCGGGTACCTGCAAACTTTGCGGACCCGTATGAGCGTCAGCCATCATTTTCCAGAGATGGCTACCACACTTTGCAGTACAAACGAGGAGTGCTTGCCCAGAGTGGGGGGGCGGTGGCCAACAACAACAACAACGACAGCCCGGGGAGAATCCGCCACCTGGTCCACTCGGTCCAGAAACTCTTCACCAAGTCACATTCACTTGAGGGGCCACACCACACACAGTCCTCCAAGGGGGCCAATAATGGGAGCGTTAATGGTGGTGGTGGTGGTGGAGCAGGTGGTGGTGGTGGTTCAAGGGCCAGCCCAGAAGGTGAAACTCCGCCAGGAGTGCGCCACCGGAAGCGCAGCAAGAGTCGCGAGCGCTGTCGATCAGCGGAGCCCAAGCACCGAAGCCACCACCACCACCAACACCACCAGCTCCATGGCTCAGCGTCCGCTCCGGGCTCTGGCTACTGGAGCTCAGATGACAACCTGGAACGGGAGCTGTGTCTCTACCACCCTCATCACCACCAACCTCCACCCTCACCCTCACCCTCCATGTCCCCCTCGCCCATCGCCATGACAATGGGCCGGTACCCCGGCAACAACCATGACAAATTCCCCCAATCTCCCATCCCCGTGCTCTCCTCCTCGCAGTCCCAGCAGTTCTTCATGATGGACCCTTACGGCACACTCAACGAGCACACATACACCCATGCACACCATGGCCACACACACCACCATCCTGCACTCAAAGTCTCCCGGAGCAACAACGATGTGAAGTATTCGGCCTCGTCAGCATGTGTGCCAGTTAGTGTCAGCAGCAATAACAGCGGTGGCGGTATCGGTGGAGGAAGTGGCTCCTTGCTACCAATGGGGCTAGTGGACGGGCCCATTGTGAAGAAAGGGGCATGGTCATCGAGCCTTACGGTGAGCAGGGCCCGAGAGGTCTACACGAACAACAGCAGCCACAACCAGCTTCGAGACAGCGCAGGATCCGGTAACCTAAACCTAGATAGAGCTCTAGTCAAATCTAAGGGCAGTCAGCAGCAGGAGCGCACTTGCCATTTCTTACAGGTAAATAATTTCTCCCTGACACCCATCCAAAACCAGTCGATTCACCTTTCTCCCCTTTGTTGCTTCCCTTTTCTCCACAACTTACTTTCCTCACCAATGTTCCTGCTGACTCAGTAATGTCCAGTCCTGTGAGGTTCTCAGTCCTACCAAACACTTTCCCATTCTGACCACACTGAAGAACAACTTCAGCAATGTGAGAGAGTTAGACTTAATCAAAGAGTGGTTTTAGGGGCTCCCTTTAAAAAGATGCCATCAACACAATGAATTCCAATCTCACAAAATGAGGGTTAATGTTTGGAAATGAGACACAAAATGGTTAAACAAAAGCCTTTATAAAGGACGTAAAATATTTATCCATGTAGTTTATTACGATGCCAGTCCTTTTCATGGATTTATTTTTAAAATCTAACCAAGGACACACGGGACACAAGCAGTGGTCTCATCTGTGAAACAACCAAGAGTGGTGAATGGGCAGTTTTTATTAATTTGAATCCGTGGATCTGGATGAATCATCTAAGAATGAAGAAGTTAACTAGGTTAAGGTAATTTACTAGTTAGCATTTAGCTTGATGAGCCTATACTCTGTGTAAATAGATAACAGTGTTAGTTAAAACAGAGATACTATGATTTTGCACCCAGTGTCTTTGGTTGTAAAGTATTTTAGGTTAGTTAGTTGATGATTATAGACTAAAGAGAGTGTGTGTGTGTGTTAGTCTGGGAAGTAAAATGTGCTGCTAATGCAAGAAAGGTAACTAAAAAAAAAGTTAACTAGGTCATAATCCATCATCCTTGACAAACTTTTCATTTTTAATAACTTTTAAGTTATCAACTATGACTAACTTTATAAATATTTGGTTTGTTCAATGTTCAAGGTATCTTTATTAGTGCGGTAAATCTGCCGTGCAGACAGGAGATGAGGCATTCCAAAGAAAAGGACAAAAACAATTTATTACAGCAATACAAATTCACGGTTCCAGGGACTTCCAGACAAAATACATTCAAACAAACATCACCAATTAAATCAAGTCATGATAAAATGCTTTTAAAGACATCCTCTTAAAAGTGTGTGCAATTGGTTTCTGTAATGTTTTGAGCTTGAAAGATAAGAAACTGGTTTGTCACAGATATCTAGACTGTGTACACAGTGATAACACACAAATCTGTTGTTCACCTAAAAATAAAAGTAAAATACCAGACAAGAAAACTGCACAGTAAAAATGTAGTAAAACTGATAGGTATCGATCATTACTATGACACTACCATGGGATCTTTGTCCTTAAAAGAAAAGCAGTCTGTGTTTGGCTGGAGGAACATGAGATATCCAATAACCACAATTCTTTAATGAAAAAGTTGATGTTGCTCCAGTCCCAGACAAAGTTAATGATGTTGTACCCAGAGACTACAAAACCTACATGTAGTCTCAGTGACATCAACCATTGGTCTCTGTAGAGGTGTTCCAAAGCCAAACGATGGCGGTCGACTTATTTGAAATACTATTTCAACCTAACCTTCAATCAGTCTTGTAACAGGTAAAGAGGTGGCGCTGATAAAATGCTACAATGCATCACACCTGTCAACTCGTCACCCCACCTCATGAAACTCTTTGTCAAAACAAGTTATGCTGTCTTAATTAACAAAAATATGTATAATAAAAAGGTCTATGTTCAAGGCATCTTGTGCTTTTCAACATCAGAGATTATCTAGTAGAATACATTTTACACAGCATCCCAGTTTGCTGCTTTTGGGTCACACACACACTCTCTCTGCATTAACAAAGTGTTTGGTAGGAAGGATAACTGCAGACTTACACAGATTGAAACTATCTCTGGATATCACTGACAGAGGTTGGGGACACACTAAAGCTGCAAAAATTAGTGCTTTTGGTATGATATAAAAAAAGAAGGTAAAAATCTATAACCTCTGTAGGGGTTTCTGACATCACTGTCTGAAAAGGGCTCATTAGATCTAGAAATGTCCAATTAAATATATTTAATTTCCATTAGCGATATAACTTGCGATATAACTTGTAATTTTTGTTATTGAATTGATTGATTGTCAAAATATCAGGATACAATGAAAATATTGCCAATCGAACGTTATTTGCTAAAAGTCAAAATGATATGAAATTTTTATTTCAAACAATTTAAAGTTCCCATGAAACAGAATCTAGAGGTAACTGCTGTGTCGTGATGTATTTCCAACAAGGATGGAACCAGCGTGAATTTGATTAGATCGTTGGCTTCATCAAAGCTTTTTCATTTGTCGAAAATGATGAAACACCTGTGAGTGTTGATGAGTGGATGAGTCATCAGACATTTGAAATGTTTTACAGGACTAGGAAATACATTTATTTAGATGTTAGAAATACTGGGATAATGCTTTATTGAAATAAATCAGGCAGATAAATGAACATTTAACACAGAAACACGACTGGTGTACAAGTGAGAAAATGTATTTTTCATTTCATGGGGACTCTAAAACTAATCGATAATCTGTGAACAATCAAAGTGGAATAGAAAAAAACAACCAACGTTCACCATTTGAAAAGCCAGAAAGCGAAAATGTTTCAGTGATTTCTTAATTTTTATTTGATTTAAATTTTTATTAGATTTTGTGTTACTAATTCCTTAATCAACAAATTTATTTTGTAAATTTAAATTTGCATATTGGTCACTTCATTTTGTTTAAAAAAGACTTGAGTTACGATGAATGTCTAGCTAATTATAATTAATTAATTAATGACTTACATAAAGTTAAGTTACATTAAATCTTGTTGTGTTACGTCACAATACGTTAAGATGAGTTGCATTGATTTAATTTAAGTTAAATTGGTTATTTACGCTTTGTTATGTAAGACTACGTTACGCAACGCTCACTTCTTTACGCTATGTGACGTTATGTTACGTAATGTTACGTAATGTTAAGGCAAGTTTATTTAGATTAAGTTCAGGGAGGTAACATCATGTTGGGTTACGTCACAATATGATACAATACGTTACATTCAATCATGTTGTTTTAAGACAAATTAAATTGGTGATTTACGTTATCTTATCCTGCTTTACACTTCATTACGTTATGCTACTTTATGTTATGTATCGTAACGTTAAGGCAAGTTCCTTTAAGTTAAGTTACTTCATATCGGTTTGGGTTAGGTTACAATATGTTAAGACGAGTTAAGTTAAAATAAGTTACATTACATTTCTAAGTTACATTTCTAAGTTACTTAAGTTAAGGCAATTACGGTTAAGTTTAGTCTTATCCGGTTTACTGAGATTCATTACGTAATTAATAGTGGACCTTAAATACCCTTTGATTTCTGTAACCTGTTGACCTAACTCATTCACCACATTCACCACAAATCGTTAGATTTAAGGTATAATTCAGACAATTAGCACAAGCAGAACATAAAGTAATCCAAGCATCCCTTAAATAACCTGCAAAAGGGATGATTTACACTCTGAAGCGTAGTGTTTATTTTAGTGTCAAGCTAGAGATGCTGTAGTGTGTCCACAGCCTTAGCGGGAACATTGATCCCTACCACCAGAATTTCCACCGATTTTTAAAGAACCCCCACTGCCTCCTCCTCCCTCTTTCCACCACTCCCTCCGCCCTGCCTCTCCTCCACTCACCTACCTCACCCCCAGGCTTCTTACCCACCCAACCCCCCTGCCACCCACCAATCCACCTCCACCTCCTTTACTTCCTCTTCGTCTGGAGAGCCTCCCTCTTCCTTCTCCTCTTCCTCCTCTTTCCTCCTTTTGAGTTGAAGAAAGAAGTAAGTGCAGAGCCAGTAGCAGCCTTACTCTCTGAATGCTAGGTACTGACATGAACTCATGGAGAACGGCATCCTTTCCTCTTTGTAGACTTCATTTTTTATTTAGTACCGCTTCCCTTCCTGAGTTTTATCCAGTTATCTCGCCTTTCCTCCCTGTTTTTTGTTGTTGTGCCTTGCTGTGCTGTGCTGTGCCGTGCTGTGCCGTGCCGTGCCGTGCTGTGCTGTACTCTGTGTTCTTTCATGTGTTGTGTTGAGCTGTGCTGGGAAGGTGTTCTATTACATACAGAAAGCAAAACAGAAATACCAATGGCTGCACAATGCATCAGTTAATCATCAGTTCCAGCCTGTTGACAGATTGGCCCATTTGCAAATAATTTGGCATGCACCATTGCCAGACACCGACTTGTATCTGTTGTGTTTCTTACTGCCTGATACAGAGGTTTTTCACTGAGTAGAGGAAGTGTCCTGTTGGACAAACTGATCTGTTTTCATGTTTAAGCGTTAAAGAAAATGTCGCCAATGTGGGAGTCTTTGAGCGTCTCTCAGCAATCTGCTCAATTGTTATTTTCACATCAGTATCAGACTTGATTTTCACAGTTGTTGCATCTCTCAAAAATACCTTAATGTCCTTTAAGCTGCTGGGAGGCTTTCATTTGGAACATATGTACAGGACAATTTAACATTTAATGACAGAAACTTTACTCTCGTATTTTCAACCTGGGCTCTTTTCTTTTGTTTTTTTTTTTACAATTGAAATGGTACAAAAACTTTGGAAATGCTCCAGTTAACTGCATCAGTCGGCTGCTGCCCTCTCCCAATAAGTAACTCAAAGTGCTTGTTTCGTCTGTAATGTTTTAAGACCAAACAGTTTGAGTTTATCAATAGAAAACACAATGTGTGTGCATCTCCCTTTTACAAGGTGCTTCAATTCGACCTCAGTGAGTTGTGGGGTTTATAGAAAGTGTTTGATATTCAGGTCTGCTACAGCTTCTTCTTGTTATTGATGACATTGTAGCACAGGTTTCTCTTTGCCATCTTAACAGGTAGCGATTCTATATTTAATCACTTTTCTGCAAAG